CTTTTCCCTTGGAGGAGAGGTATTTTTCTGCTTTCCCATATTTCTTGTGGTCCTGCAGCGATTTCTAGTCAACTGGTGGATGGATGGTTGGTTTCTTCCCAAACTTGGAAGTTCAATCTGAGCATCGAGAAGCATACAGAAAAGGAAACAGAGAGAGAGAAACAACAACAACAAAAAAAAAAGGAAAAACTTTTTTAAAAAACTAAAAAAAAATTAATATTTAAAAAAATTTCAATAAAACCCCCCAAATTAGAAATGTCTAGTTCTCAGCAGCCAAGAAGGTGTCTCTTCAAGAAGGCTTGTTCCCTTTTGCCTCTCCTGGGTTGGGAGGGGGAAAGGGAATTCTTCACAAAATAAAGTGATAGGAGGGGCCAGAAAGCCCAGAAAATGCCTCACCTTAAAAATTTCTAAAAAGCAGAAATTTAAAAAAAAAGAGAAGACAGAGACAGAGGTAGAGAACAACAAAGACAGATACAAGACAGGAGGCCTGAAAGGAGTCTTCCTACCACGCAAGTTTTGTGTGCTGGAGGCCGAATTATCAGTGGGAAATCTTCATTTCTCTGTTTCCTCCAAAATGTCTAGTTCTCAGCAGCCATGAAGGTGTCTCTTCAAGAAGGCCTGTTCCCTTTTGCCTCTCCACGGGAGTTTTGTGTGCTGGAGGCTTAATTATCAGTGGGAAATCTTCATTTCTCTGTTTCCTCCAAAATGTCTAGTTCTCAGCAGCCATGAAGGTGTCTCTTCCCAATGATAACATTTTTTAAAGTGTATTTATTTTGGGACCAATGGATGGCATAATGGTTATGTTGCTAGACTCCCATGTAGTTAACCACAGTTTGCATCCTGGACCTGGCAGCTTAAAATTCACACCGGATGCATGTCATGCATGCCCAAAATCCTGAGGGAGAATAGAGGAGAAGGGATTGTGGTGTGGCTGGCCCCCCTTGGGGGTAGGGGGGGATTTCTCACTTTCTGTCTCTCTGTCTCTCTCTAGTAAGCACATAAGCACATGTACCCTATAGCAAAAATCTCTCTCTAAAAAAATAGGTAAGGTACATTTATTTCTTTCATGAGTGAAAGACAGAGTACTTCACAGCAGGGTCTTGACATTGCATTGACCTCCAGCTTCAGCTAGCCCCAGATCATGGGCAAGCATGTGTCCAGTGTTCTCTGAGAGGTCCCCAGATGAGAACCCAAAACTTTTCCATATGGATCAGTCTTGCAGAGTGTTGTGTTACCTCACAGTCCAGCCCAAATGATAACATTTTCAAAACAAATTTAATCTTTTTTCTTTAAAAGTGAAACATGTCTGTTTTCTCCTGGAAGACTGATTTATTATATGACTTTAGTATACTATGAAATTCCACAGCTAGTAACTTTTGAGTTAGTTAACCCAAGACATACACCAGTACATCTCATATATACAACCATTTTATGAGTGACAGTGTTCTTTTGTAACTTTAAACCATGGAAGCAACTTTGAAAAGTCGACAATATGACCCAAAGATTCTATTTTAAAAGTGGGGTTGGGGGGTGCAGTGGTAAAATTCAGACTCAAAACTGTAAGTCTACAAGACTGACCCACAGGGGAAGTTTCTGGATTCACCTCCAGAGAATCCGAGTATGTCACGCATACATGTGCCCATGATCCAGGGCTGGTTAAAGCTAGGGTTGGATCACAGCATCAAAACTGTTAAGAGTGCCATCCATCTGTGTCTCTCTCTTCCTTGTTTATAGAATCCTCTCGGGATTTCGAACACGAACACACACACACACACACACACACACACACACACACGCCCAGCATGATCTTCAAGCCATCAGCTCCAGGACTCAAACTGTATAGTTAGCCATATGGGATCCAGCTACCTAAACCTCCACACCACCTGTTGGGCTGTTCTTAAAATATTTTAAATAAGGACTACAAAAGTAGACTGTACTTTGAGCCTATCTTCATTTATCTTCATTTTAAAGTGAACTTACTGCACAGTTTGAGTCCTGGACCTAGAAGAACACTCAAGGCATATGTGCATGCCCAAAATGCATAAGAAGAATGGAGGAGAAAGGACTACAGTGTAGCCATCCTCCATGGTTGGCATACTCCTCTCCTCCTGCCCCCACCTCTCTCCAGAAAGTATGCATGCCCTTTTGCAAATTTTTTTTTTTTAAAAAGTGACATAGGCAGCTGGAACTCACATGGCCAACTGTACAATTTGAGTCCCAGACCTGGCAGCTTGAAAAGCACATTGAGTATGTGTGTGTACATACCCAAAATACTGAAAGGATAAATGGAGGAGAAAGGATTGTGGCATGGACATTCTCTGATAGGGAGTGCTTTCTCACTTTCCTCCTCTCCTTACACACACACACACGCCCAGCATGATCTTCAAGCCATCAGCTCCAGGACTCAAACTGTATAGTTAGCCATATGGGATCCAGCTACCTAAACCTCCACACCACCTGTTGGGCTGTTCTTAAAATATTTTAAATAAGGACTACAAAAGTAGACTGTACTTTGAGCCTATCTTCATTTATCTTCATTTTAAAGTGAACTTACTGCACAGTTTGAGTCCTGGACCTAGAAGAACACTCAAGGCATATGTGCATGCCCAAAATGCATAAGAAGAATGGAGGAGAAAGGACTACAGTGTAGCCATCCTCCATGGTTGGCATACTCCTCTCCTCCTGCCCCCACCTCTCTCCAGAAAGTATGCATGCCCTTTTGCAAATTTTTTTTTTTTTAAAAAGTGACATAGGCAGCTGGAACTCACATGGCCAACTGTACAATTT